GGAGCACGCGACATCCTTGATTGCAGGTGGGTAGGCAAGTAGAAATGGGCACGAAGTACTTCTGACCCATCTCAGAAGGTGAGGATCATCCGCATGAGGCTGACTCTCCGAGGCTTCAAGGACGCCGACGCCAATCTCGTTGCCGTGCACGCAGGCACCTCATCCAGACTCTGACAGCGCGCGATTGTCTCCGAGGCGGCCTGCCGACGACGGGCGCTCGATGCGCCGGACGTCAGGAAGGCCTTCCCTGAAAGGCGTACGCCACCATGAACTTGCGGAGGCAACGAGTAAGGATGAGCGCGAGGTTAGCTTCGAGCTCTCCCCTGGCGCCGTCGCAGTCCAACGCGAAGTAACGGGGCGCGAAGATTTCGACCCAGCACCACGTGGAGAAACCAGGCACCAGATGCAAAGATGCCCCGAGATGTTGGCCCATCCGGTTCACCAAGATCACCAGCCAAATGTACCAAGCCGCCCCAACATTATACGACCATGAGTTCATCGCCAAACGCAGAGATGGCGATCTCGCCCTACTGGCCACCAAACATATCGGCGGCATCACAGCAGCAGGATCACCACAGGAGAACGCCAATGGACGTCAATGGTTAGAGGTGGTTCCGGCAGAGGTGAGCTGGACGTCAGCGAAGGCACTTTCACGCGCTGCGGAACACGCCCCCCCCCCCCCCCACCCACCACCACCACCACCACTCCACGCGCGTCCGCGGATGTGAGCTGGGCCAGATCGAGTACATACAGGCGCTGCATCCAATGAGAAATGTCGAGCTGGCTGGCAAGTCAAACTCCGACCTCGCCCCAGAGAGCCTGGGCAAATTCGTTCTCAGTCTGCTCATGGCTCGGGCCTTCGACCTCATCGCCCACGTCGGTCCGCGCGTTTGCATAGTCGCACTATAGCGCCGCGCAGCGGTGCCGACGCGCGGCCACCTGCGGAAGCTCAACGCCCTGGCGAGATGGGCACAGGCGAGTCCATTACGCATTCACTATCCACCCATGCGCTGCGCACATAAGCTCAAGATGCACAGCGACGCAGCATTCCGAAAGGAACAGAAGGAGGGCGTCGACGCAGGGCGAGCCCAGGGAGGAGCCACTATTGCGCATGAACACCAGAGACGCGGAGACTCACCGAGCTTTGCGCGGGGCACTTCAGGCAGTTGCACGAGGCCCCATTCACATGTTGGCTGATGGCCGCGATCAGTTCAACAGATCATGGCCTCGCCCTAGCCACCACACTCCATGATGCATTAAGAGGGCCCCGTGGCTCTGAAGCGGCACGCCGCCAACGAGATGGTCAACGGCCAGTCGCACTGCAAATCGAGCTCTGCCTCGGCTCGATGGGAGCGGTCACAGCCGTCGCAGCGACGATACCCAAGCCTCCGGCAGAACACTCAATGCTGCCGCATGTGCTCTGGCTCCGCGACCTCCTGAGCTCGGGCCAGCGACGGGCCCTGAGCGGGGAAGACGCCCGCGACGTGTTCGCGGACGGACTAACCAGGGGCAGTACAGATAGATCTGACCTCCAAGACGTGGCCGGGCGGCTTTCGTCCGCGGTCACGTACACCGCGCACTGCCACCTTCACGTCGGCGGGCATGCTCGCCACGCAGTCAGGGCACAGGCGCCAGCCGACTCCCGATGCGCGCAGGATCTGCGCGCGCTCTACCTTCCTCGGCGCCCTCAGCCATTCCCAATCCTCGTCTTCTCTGGAGATCTGTCAGGCGGCGCGCGACGGCTGGGAGGAACGTTGCAGCGCGGCCGCTCGGGAGAGCGCGCCGCCGGGAGCCCGCGCTGCAGCGGCGAGCATTCGCGCGGCGACGCGCGCGTAGGCGAGCATCAGCGCGGACAGAACGGACGCAGTAGCAGCGGGGGGGGATCAGGGAGAAGCATTTATGTTACAGCCGCAATTTCTAATTTCCCATCAGCAGACTCGCGCGCCACCCGGCCGAGTCGCGCCGAGCTGCCGGCCGTTTCTCGCGCGCCGCCGGGCGCGATGCGCGCCGTCGCCCGCTGGCGGCCACCCGCTGCCGCGCGCGCACGTAGCACCACTCTGTGAGGGTCGGCCGCCCGTGTCCGCAGGTCCTCCGCCGCCTCTCCGCCCGCGTTCCGCGCCCTCGTCCCCCCTCTCCCCCGCGGAGGACATAGCGTCGCCAGAAGACGCGGCCCTCGCATCGACTGCAGGCCGAGCCTTGCCAAGGGCGCATACGCCGACGCCCCCCCAGGCATCCGGGCAAGGGCAGGCGGTGAGCTGGCGATGATTCGCCCGCGAAGCGCGCCTCCAACGACGCCGCCGCCGCGCAGAACCCAGGGTCGCGAAGGCGGTCGCCCGGCGCAGCAGCCCGACGAGACGCGCGGCGCCGGCGGCATCTGTTTCACGCGGCCGCTTTTAGGCCCAATGGATTCCCCGTTCCCGCTCGCGGCCGCCATCTTCGCGCCAACGCCGCGCGGCAGCCGCGTCTCGCTCGCGGCTGCTGCCGACCAGCAAGGCGCCCGAAAGGCCACCGACCCCGCCGAGTGCGCCGCCTCCTCCAGAGGCGCCGACCACGGCGCCCTTGGACCCTTGGAGGACGCCGAGCCGCTCACGCAGTCCATCGAGGAGATTGTGAACATCGCGCGGAGTTGGCGTCATGCGGATCCGGTGCCAGAACAGGACCCCCGTCGTACCTGGTTCAGCGTCGACGCGATGGGCCTCGAGCTCCGCGCAGGCTTTGCCTTCGAAGCGCGGAGAGTCAGCGGCTGGATCAACGACTGCTCGAGGCCCGCGCATGCGAACGCCCCGTCGGGCATGGCGCTCCCGATGTTCACGGCGGAACTCCACCATGTCTGGAATTCGTGGAGCCCCAGCAGCGAGACGAATGCAAGCGTTACTGGGCGCTGATGGACGCGGGATCCTGGCCCAGATTCGAGCAGCTTTTGTTGGCCGAGCTCGACGGCGCAACGCTCGTCGCCCCGTCGCCCAAGAGCGTCCGCCTGGCCATCAGCGGCCGGCGGGGCTGTCACCGCGCGCGGCGCGCCCCCCTTAGGGCGAGCGCGCGCCGCGCGCTCCGCCGCGTTGCCGCCGCTCGCGCCCCCGTTCGCCAGCGCGCCTTCCCCCGTCGCCGCCCGATGAGGCTGCCGTCTACGACGGGCCCAACACGGCCCCAGGTTCGAGCTGGAGGCCGACGTTGTACCCGTCGACTCCACGCCCGTTCTGGACCAGGACGGGGGCCACGGCGCCCGTCGGACCCCGCGGGCACGCTGCGGGCAAGGGCAAGGTCAAGGACGAGGAGGAGAACAACCCCCCGCCTGACGACGCCGCTGACCCCCCCCCCAAGACGACGAAGAAGAAGAACACGACCCGCAGGGCTGGGGAGGGTCGAGCGTCGGCGCGGCGGCGCGGCCCTCCACGCGGCGAGGGCCGACGAGCCGAGGCAGTCGCCTTCGCCCAGGGGCAGCGCCGAGCCTGGCACTCCCAGCGAGGAAGTCGCCTTCGGCGGTCGCGATCGGAGCGTGCACGACGGATCGCGAGGCGATCGTGCCGGAATAGCGTGCGAATTCCTCAAGGTCTATCTCCATCCATCACCCCCTCGACCACCTACCAGGCCAAGGCACTACACCTCCACCTCATCACTCACGCGACCCCGTTGCCATCATCTCGCCTACGCTTCTGGATAGGATTTCAGACATCAGGTCTGCGGCCCGAGGCCACCAGCACCATGCAAAGCGGCACAAGGTAGTTCACATCATCATTACTCACGCGCGCGAGCTCCTCCGCCGCTTTTAAGAGCACGATCGAGCTCACCAGCGCAGCGGATGAGCATGCGCACCCACACGCGCGCCCGTCAGGTCAGACAGCGACGGTGTCTCCCAGCCGAGTCTGCAATGTGCTTGTGGTTGGACAGTTATGGTTCCCTTCGTCCTTTGGTCTTTCTTCTCCGCTAGAGTTGTTCGAACGCCCGTGCAGTCCCGACTCAAATAGGAGAGGGCGCCGTTGTTTTGCCTGGGCGTCGGCGCATATCTTCTCATTCCATGATGAGTAAAAGCCCCGTAGTCTACATCTCATTGTCGCCACACTTTCTCTCGCACAGGTTCCAAACCCCGCAATTATAGTTCCTCATCCTCCTGATGACCCTCCCCCTCCCCCCCCTCTTTCTCCTCATGTTTCCTTCCTTTTCCTGCGTTCTCCCCCTTTTGGTTCTTCTCCTCCTCCTCGTCCTCCTCCTTTCTGCTCCCTTCTCTCCCTCCACCCCCCCTTCTCGACCCTCGAGGTTCGAGGATTGGGGCTGCTCGATGTTTCCGGTCTTTCCGTGGGTCCGCAGAGCTTCGGAGGTTTTCTGGGACTTCTGGAGGTTCTGGTGGCAGCAGTCTTCCAGGAATTTCGCTGGAGGTATCCGCATATACGTCTGGCAGATGACGTCAGCCCTCCAGGCTCCTCTTCCCCTTCTCCCGTTTATTGTTTCTCGCGGGCAGAAGATGGTATAACATATAGACAAGTTGTCTTGCCGGCAGGATTCAGCACATGGTTTGTCGGAAGCGGCAGGGACGGTCATCTCCAAGAGAATACTTCGCTGCCTTTCCGAGTCCCCCATCCCTCGGCCCATACTGTTGTTAGCCTGCGGAGTTTTTCCATCCTGCATATCAGCCCCGCCGCCCCAACCCAAGCGATCGGCCCGGTACATATATGATTGATTGTGTTCCCCCTGTTCCTCCTGAGTGGATTCGAGGAGCGAGGCTGTGCCATTGGCAAGCCCAGTTGGTATGGCATACCACGTTGAAATGCACGTATGGCCCGATGCCATAAGAGTCACGGGTGGGCTACAATACCAGTCGTAGAATGTCGGGCATTCGGGCATATGCCAATGTCAAGCGCTGGTGGTGTTGAAAGGATATGCGTACAAATGTCCTTGAATCGGCTTGCCTTGGAAAGGGGGCAAAATCTCGGCAGAGGGCAAATGTGGCCCGTGTAGGAAGAAAAGCGAATTACGAATTCCGTTGTTCCTGGCGTATCCCACAGGATCGAGGCGCGTGGGCTGACATCGAGCGGTTGGCCTTCTCCTACCTCGATGTGGACTCCGACGGGGTCCTCAGCGCCGAGGAACGCGACAGACGAGCCTTTCTTTACAACGGTCTCTGCAGCTGAGAAGCATGGGTATCCTTGACCTGGGGAATCCCCGATCGGTTTCGAAGCCCCGCCCCCCCTTTCATCGCGATCAGGCAAAGACAAAAGGTAAGTTGGACATCGTGTTTAACTGTTGCATATTTACTTCGAGGGGGGACACCGGAATCCTTCGGGCATTACTTTGCTAGAGCTGCGATCGCACCATGTTGCACGGTGCGGCCCGATGGAGGGGGGGGCTCTTTCAGGAGCAAGCATGCCTGAGCGAATGTTGTGTCGGTCGAAGGGGGGGCATATGGTTCTCTGAAAGTATGTTTCGGCGTCGCGATGGGTCTGTGCACCAGCGAGTGTTGATTGGAAAACTCCAGCAGCAAATTGAGGGTCCGCTTCGTCCTCGAGCCCCATGACAGCGTGCCAGCGAGGTGTGGTGAGCAGCGCGAGCTGCAGCCTAGACAGGACTGGAAGGGGCTTCTCAAGTTGCTCGACGGGCCCACTAGGAGCCGCGACCTAATGTCCGATGTGTTGCTATATAGTGAGGAAGATTCAAGACAAACCGCTCCGAATAGCGGCACAGTGCAGTCCATGCAGTGTGGCGCCCAGCCCCATTTGACAGGTTTCGTTGTTCTAGTTTGCTGTTTCTGGTGAGTTCGCGGCACGCATGCAAATTGCCCTGTGGCCGTGTTTCCCTACTTTTCGTATTGATTTGTTGTGTCGTCGCCGTCTCTTTCTCTCTCTCTCTCTTTCTCTCTGCCGTCTCTCCCCTCTGTCGTCTCTCCCTGTCGTTTGTTGTGTTCGTCGTTCTCTCCACTCTCTCTCTCTCTCTCTCTCTCTCTCCCTCTCTCCCTCTGTCTCTCCGTATACGTACTCTTTCTGTTTCTCTCTCTCTCTCTCTCTCTCTCTCTCTCTCTCTCTCTCTTTATACATATATATATATATATATATATATATATATATATACGTATCCGGGTAAGCGACGCCTTGCCGATGCGACCCAGAGGGGGTTTCTGGCCTCCGTTGCACCGCGGTCTGCCCCCCGATGTCTGGCCCGGAGGGGGGGGTGCGGCCTCCGTTGCACCGCGGCCTGCCCCTGGACACCTGGCCCCAGGGGGGGCGCGGCCTTCGTTGATCGGGGCTCAAGAGACGGGGGTCAATGCAAACAGGGGTCAGCCAGGGCACCAGATCCTGCAGGATCCTGCGAAGACCCCCTCTGGCTGATCCGGGTTAGCGAGCCGCTCGTGGCCGCGAGGCGGCCGCGCATATTGGCTCACCCGGGTTTGCAAAGCCCTACGTTGCACATTTGGTTTCTTGCATTGCAGTTTTTTGGTTTTTTGCTGACATGGGTCTGGATTGACCCGGGTCAGAAGATCCCCGACGTTGCACCGTGGTTTGCCCCCGTCACGTCCAACATTTAGGTCGGGCATGTCCCCCTACCGGCGGAATATTGGAAGGAAAGCTAAAGATAGTCAAAACAGACTCAGCAATAGTCAAGACATCGTCCCCGGACAATTGTTTGACATTTTTTTGCATTCCCTGTGTAGAGAAGCATGCCCGACTTAAGACAACGTCGAGTCGGGGGAGCGGATCGGGCTGCATCGGCAATGTCCTGGCCCGCGCGGGGGGCTGGCCTTCTTTGCACCGTAGTGTGCCCCCCCGGCTCAGAGAAGGGGGGTCGGAGGAGAGATGGGGTGGTGGGGTGGTGGGAGGAGAGGGGGGAGGGTATGGAGACCGAAGCATGCGATGTTATGTTTTTTCCATACGGCCCCCATGGAAGTTCCGACCGGTCCCCCATGGGCCGGATGTGCATCCCGAGCCGTTGTTTGACGGCCCTGGAGTCTGGCGGGGGTTCCCAGGGCGAAGAAGCGGCCCAAACAATCCCGCCGTGGTTTCTTCGCGACGCGATCATGTCTGGGGGGAAAAAGGAAGACGAAAGGCCAAAAGGTATGGGAAAATATAAGGGATTCCTGGGATTTGTATATATTTATGTCTGTGTCCCTGGGCCCCGTCATCATGTCTGGGAAAAGGAGGGGGGGGGAGCACGGAGAGCGGGGACACCGACCCGCCCAGCCCAGCGCCCCTCCGCCCGCGAGAACCGGCGCGAAGCGCGTGTGGAGGAGGGAGGGAGCGGGGGAGGAGGACAGGCGGGTGGCGGGGGAGGGGGGAGGGGCATGGAGAGCGGGGGGGGGGGGGCACGGAGAGCGGCGATGCCGACCCACCCGGTCCGGAACGCCCGTCGGCACGCGAGGGAACAGGCGCGGAGCGCGACGGGGCGTGCGCGCGCCCCAGGACCTGGCCGCGCACACTGCGGGCGTTCGGCAGGGCGCCTCCGGTGCCGCGCCAGGCGGGGGGGGGGGCCGACGTGCGCCTGCGGAGGACGGGGAGCAGGGCCAGCGCCAGGGGGGGGGATGGGGGGCGCATCGGCCCGCAATCGCCTCTGCATCGCCGGTGGAGGCCCGATAGCACGTCCCGCCCGGCAACTTGCGGATTCGCCATCGGGGGCTCGGCTCATCGCGAGTCTATCGGCGGTGTATGGTCGATTCCAGGGAGACGCTCCCCCCATCCATCCTCGCTTTTCCGACGACGGGGAAGTGAGGGAGGATAAGCGGGAGCATGGAAGCAGTACCCTGAGATCAGGCGTGCGTTTTTTCCATATTGTGGACGTTTTCGCCCAGCGTCTCCAACCATCCTGTGGTTTTGGGTCCTCGTTTTGAAGAGACAGCGCCCCGCGTTCACTGCTCTTTCCTCCTCCTCCCCCTCCTCCCTCCTCCCACCATTATCACCCATGTCGGTACACCCCTCACACGTTTCGTGGCCCCAGAAGAAGCTCCACCGAATGTCCCAGTTGCTGCGTTCGCTTTTGCTGCGCATGCGGTTCCACCCCCCATTTCCGCACACCCCTCACACGTTTCGCGGCTCCATACGGAGCTCCACCGAAAGTCCCACTGGTTGCTTTCGGTTTTGCGGCGCATGCGGTTCCACCCACCATTTCGGCACACCCCTCACACGTTTCGTGACCCCATAGGGAGCTCCACCGAAGGCCCCAGTGGGTGCGTTCGCTTTTGCTGCGCATGCGGTTCCAACCCCCTATTTTGGCACACCCCTCACACGTTTCGTGGCCCATCGGGAGCTCCACCGAAGATCCCAGTTGCTGCGTTCGCTTTTGCGGCGCATGCGGTTCCACCCCCCATTTCCGCACACCCATCACACGTTTCGTGGCTCCATACGGAGCTCCACCGAAAGTCCCACTGGTTGCTTTCGGTTTTGCGGCGCATGCGGTTCCACCCCCCATTTCGGCACCCCTCACACGTTTCGTGGCCCCATAAGGAGCTCCACCGAAGGCCCCAGTGGGTGCGTTCGCTTTTGCTGCGCATGCGGTTCCACCGCCCATGTCCGCACACCCCTCACACGTTTCGTGACCCCATAGGGAGCTCCACCGAACGCCCTAGTGTCTGCGTCCGCTTTTGCGGCGCATGCGGTTCCACCCAGAATTTCGGCACACCCTTCACACGTTTCGTTGCCCCATAGGGAGCTCCACCGAAGGCCCCAGTGGTTGCGTTCGCATGCGGTTCCACCCCCCATGTCGGCACACCCTTCACACGTTTCGTGGCCGCACAGGGAGTTCCACCGAAGGCCCCAGTGGCTGCTCTCGCATGCGGTTCCACCCCCCCACTTCGGCGCACCCCTCGCACGTTTCGTGGTCTGAGGCGGCACCACCGAAGGCCGCAGCGGCAAGTTCCGCATGTCGGTGCCGCCCCATGTCTGCACACCCCTCGCACGCTTCGTGGCCCCATAGTGAGGATTTCGGCACACCCCTCACGAGGATCGTGGCCCCATAGGGAGCTCCACCGAAGTCCCCAGTGGCAGGGTTCTCGTGGCGGCTTCGGGCCATTTCGGCACACCCCTCACGAGGATCGTGGCTGCATAGGAGCTCCACCGAAGGCGCCAGTGGCAGCCTCCCTCATGGCTCTCAGAGCCCTCTCCTGTTTCTGCTCCTCGGTCAGGGGGACGCCATCCTCGTCGTCGTCGGCGCCCGCGAAGACGGCCACGAACGTGTCCCTGAGCATGTCGGGCCCCGGCGGGAAGCCGTGGTTACATAGGGAGGGCGGGCGACGATGGTATTCACAACTGCGGTATTCACAGTTGCGTATGGTTGGGTCCTTCGCCAGGTTAATGTGTCTTGCCATGCTTCGACTAGTTGTGTTTCGCGTTCTAAGGCCCGCCGCTGTGGAACATTGTTTGTGCTAGCGCTTTCAGCTTCGTTCTCGAAGGATTATTGTTGCCTTCCCTGCCGGCTTCGCTCCCACTTTCCCCTTCTCGTCGTGACATCCATAGATGGGACGGGAGGTGAAAGCAGCTCCCGTGCGCAAGGCCGAAAACGATATAAACAAACGTGTGATACCTGTGCGAAACAGGCCTGGGAGCTTCCGACGATGGAACACGACTGACTTTAAAACGCACAAGAGAACATAGCGTGTTTTGCGTCTCCAGTTTTTCTGCTGGGACGCGAAAGCGCTAACAATGACGGTTCCCAACGCGCCGAGTTGAAATCATTTTTTTGCCCCAAAAAATGCATGTGGCCGACTGAAGACGCACAAAGTGTTACAATAATGTACGCTGGCTGCGGGGAGCGCCGCATTGTATAACAACCGCTTGGGAATTCCCAATCGCGCCAAAGCACCATCCCTTGGAATTCAACGCCGCGAATCAAGGTGGTTTCTGCGTCCTGACATCCTACATTGCGCCCCAACACCATTCCTGGGATGTCACAACGAATCAAGCGCCCTGATAATCCTAAATGTCAGAGCGCCGTTCCTGTGACTTCCACCATAAGAGTCCACTTAGCTGTTGCAGTATTGTAAAACGAATGAGCGCGGCCACAACCGCATTTTGAAAAGGATCCGCCCTCCATTTTCCAAGCTGCTGCAACATATAAGATGAATGTGCGAGGCGTTCAGGCGAGAATAATGGTTTGAAAGCGGACCCCCTTTTTCATCTTTGAGGCTGACGCTGCTTAAAAAAAAATCGTGCGCGGCGCGAGGGCGAAAACCACATTTTGAAAATGTGGCGCCTTCCACCCTAGAAGCGACTGCAAAGTTAAAGCCTCAGGACCACACGTAGTGAGGAGTTTTCAGGCGAAACGCCCGACCCGCCCTACCAACACGTTTGGGGGGCTCGACAAGGAAGCTTCATGTCAGAAAAAATGAAAGAGGAGGGGGAGGAAGAGGACCGGCATCGCCCAGACATGTTTATAGTATGCACTATGCTTGCGTCGGTCCCCCAACGGCGACGCTCGCTTGAAGCTCGAACTTCGCACGCTCGGTTGCGAGGGTTTTTCGGCCATACCGCTTGGCTAACGCTATGATATAGGGTGTGTGTACTATGTGTCCGGTGCGGACGCGCGTCTTCAAAGAGGACGCATAATACTTGTATGACCCCCCGCGCCCCGGAGGAGGGCGCAGTGCCATTGGACTCCCAGCGCTGCCCTGCGCAACCTGGCATGCCGCGGGGTCTCGCTGAGTCGTGGACAGACCACTGGAAGAGGATATGTATATATATAGAGAGAGAGAGAGAGACATTGATATATATATATATAAATATATATAAATATATATATATATATATATATATATATATATATATACACACACACATCTGGGCCCGAGCGTTTTTGCGATTTCCAGAGCGGGGACACACGCCCATGTACCCGAATATCGGGTGTCGGTTTAACACACTGGCGACCAGCACGCGCCTCATATATTGGAACCTGACGTATGTTCAAGACTACGACGAACGGCTGGAAATCCCCCGATCGATGTCACACATCGACGCAGTATTCTTCTCAGGTGCAAAGACCAAGACCCTGGCCCCATATGATACCCACGAGTCTAGTGAGTTCAGCATGCTGCAGCTCGACGGCATCGCAGGATCAAACTGGAAGCAACTACTCTTGCAGCACGGAGATGTGGCTGAATCGCCGCAAGTTCCGACGGTAGCACATGGTGAAAGTATAGCAGACACCACCAGCTCTACGAGGCCGCATCGGCGCCGCGCGCGCCAAGAGTTCTCATTTCGACGAAACCTTCATCACAGCTTGCTTGATACCGGACGCGCAGCGAGCCACCACCGCATCCAAGAGCGATGTTATTGTGGACAAGACCGTTGTGTGGTGTTCCCCCTCGTCTCCATCCTCCCTCTTTGGATTCGTCTAGAGTTTGTCCGCAGCCGCTTTGGACTTAGAGGGCTGCCCGTCGGCAGCCGAGGTGTCATCAGGATCTCCTCGGGCACATGCTGTAAAACGTGTCGTCCTCCCCCGCTTTTCTTCTGGATTCATGCCCGACGACTCATCTGACAATGGTGCCCTGTGCGCCGCCAACACGCATCATCCGCGTGGCCCTAAGCATCGCGGTCTCAGAGGACATGCCAGCTACATCGACTATATCGCGATGCCGACCAGGTATCTCCTACGTGCGAAACGCCACAACAATGCATATCAATTGACGGAGAGGTTGCGCGCGTGTCCATCCCTTCGCCGATTGGACCACAGGACGTTACACTTTGAAGCTACATGTACCCTGACCTTTGACATGCCGAAGTATGCGCCGCAGTGGGGTCACACGCGTATATTTCACGGCATGGAAACATGAGAATTGTTCGGGGTGGGCCAAGCAGTTCCGCGACGACATCGAGATGGACTTGCGAAACCCACTGAACACACACGGCTACCGCGACATGGCTGACTGGGCAGAGCATCGCACAATGGAGACTGGATGGCAGCACCTCATCTCGATCGCACGCGCCCGAGCCCTTAGACACGCTGAAGCGAAGGGGTCACGCATCGACCTAGAGTACTAGCAAATCGAGGAAGCACGCACGGCGACCATTCGCACGCGATCGCCGGCCAGGCAGACCCTCGCAGACGACCTCAAGAGCACCCTCAGGTCACGACGACGCAGCGCGGAGCGCAAGAAGCTACGCCGGCGCCTCCGCGAGCACCTCGATGAGCAACGTTTCCACGAACTACAGCAGACCGGCGAAGCTGGACAGCGGCGCTCTCGCCGTCGACTCGCGGGAAGTGGTGGAGGGCCAGGCAAACGCTGTCACGTCGACTTTCCAGACGCACGGTCGTCCACGCAGACGAGGACCGACAACGCGCCCCCCCTTGGCGCGGAAGGCGGCGCGGACGCCGCCCCAGTTGACACTCGGCAGTTGATGCGGACAGCCGCTAATAATGATGCGCCGTCCTGCCCCTCTGGCTGGCCATCGGCGGCGATATGCGCAGTGCAACCACGCTACTATACAGCGACGCTTGCGGACCGATGACGCGCTGCCCCAGAGCGGCCC